ATTGCTGCTTCTGAAGCCAAGAAGGCCGAGGAAGAGCGACTGGCAAAAGAGGCTGCCGCTGCTGCCGAAGCCAGAAAGCTAGAGGAGGTGCGAATGGGGAAGGTAGTTGCCGCGGCAGAAGCCAACAAAGGATCTGCAGTTGCAGCTTCTGCTGATGCCGTTAAGGCTGAAGAGGAGCAGCTAGCTAAAGACGCTGCTGCTGGTAAGGAGGAGCGGAGGGCCAAAGAAGTCGCCGCCCCTGCTGAAGCTACAATGGTGGAGGGACAGCCAACCCAGGAGACTTCCGTCAAGCTTGATCCGTTGAAAGTGTCAAGTGCGACCCGGTCTCGCGTCTCGCAAGCCGACAAAGGATACCCGAGACGTGCATCACAGCCAACATCAACCATGAGCAAAGATGTTTCAGCGGTGGCAGTGGGCACAAGCGTCAGACCCGAGGCACTCGAGGGTTTCGTACAACGAAGTTAATCTTGCTCCCAATGAGTATGACAAAGGGTTACGGCTATGAAAGGACTGTGCAAATGGCTTTCCGGGGTGTAATGGCGCGATACTGTTATTTCTGGACAGGTTGCATACAATGCAAGTCTAGCAGTAGACGCATCTTCAACAGCTTCACCATTTGCGAGATGCCGCGAAGGACATTTCGTCGCACTAGTTGACCAAAAACGTCTTTTGCGCATGCATCTCCTGCGATGAAATTGTTCTCCCGAGATCTCTTCCCAAAATATTGAAGTCCGAAATCCTTGCAAGCATTAAGTCGCTCTTCAAAGCCCAGCTCGACTACAGGCCTCTGCCATGCCTCCAAAGGATCGCAGGCCTCTGCAAAGTTCGGAGAGTTTCTCAGGGTTTCTCAGGGTTTCTGGCTTCGCTTTGCTGTGCCCCTGAAGCTACAAGGCACACGTGATGAACTCTCTCTCACACAGCCAAATCTCCAATCTCAGACCCTTGGCATGTGTCGAAAGAAAAGTTGCCGTTCACACAACTGATAAAAGGTCACACTGGACAATTTTGCAGGGATGTTTGACTGCTTTTTTCAGGTGCTTTGCATGTCAGGGATGTCAGGGGCAGGCAGGAGCAGATGCGACTGCAGGTTGCTGTTGATAAGCTGGCAGCAAGTTTGGAGCCTGGACACAGGCCGGGGTCAGCTTCAGCAGCTCCACTCGCTGAACAGCTTCCGTTCCGGAAGTTCACAAACTGCACACTTTCTAGATTCTAGCTGTGATTTCAACGGCCCTTCAGCCCTGTGTCTGCCCAAGCCCTACAACGGCAATTAGGCTGCAACAGTGATAAGCTGGCTCGTGCACAGGTTTGACCAGCCCAGTTCACCAGCACAAGGCATGGCACGATGCTTTGGCCTTTGGGGCTGCTTTAGACAATGTTCTTTCGGAATCTTGGTTGCCATGCTAAGCTACATATGAACTATATAGGTGCCTTGAAGCGAACTCTAATGCACGACCATCTCGGCCGTCAGCGCAGTTACCGGGGTCGCGGCATGCAGTTTCGGGTGCAGAATCTGGGATTTCGCAGCACTGGCTGAAATCAGTGACATCTCACACAGGAAGGCCATTTTGGGAACGCTTCTGTGTTTGCCTAATCGCAGCCTTCCTTTTTGCCTCAAAGTTGCCTTGAACCCCTAGCCGCTCGAAACCATTCTGTCAGAGCAGAGCTTCGTGTTTCGATCATTGAGTTTCGGGTTCATAGGTTCAGGAGCCCCGGGTGAGCTTCAAGCTTTGTGCTCTTCTTGCTCAGGCAGGTGCCCTGAAACCATGCTGCCCCAAAGCCCTAGGCCCTGGGACTCTCGGCTTACCCTCGTGTCGAACGCCCTCACCTTTTCACTGGTAGTTGCCCAGAACACCGAGGTGCCTGAAGCTGAACATAATTAGGGCCTGCCGGTGTCCGTCGATTCGCGTCTCAGCCCTTGGACTCGAACCGGAAGTCCCAGCTGGGGCTTGGGCATATGTTTGTTGCAGGACGGGCAGCCCCGAGACTGAGCCTAAGATGCAAGAGAGGGACGCTGAGGTGTCGGGCTTCCGGGGATTCGGGGCCGGGTTGGTTTATGGTGATTGTTAAGATGTCGAGAGGCACGGCAGAAACAAGACTAGCAGTCTGCAGAGCAGCGCATGTATCAATTCGGACGAGTCCGAGGGCTGGAAAGATGAAGCTGAAGTCTGGATGGGGCTGGTGGTGGGCCGTGGGCCCCAGATGGCCTCACAGCTTCCAAACGTAATCCGCACAATTCACATAATCTGGAGTTTCTCCATAGCCCATACTCATTGGGCTGCTTTCTTAGTGCTTCTGCGGTAGATGAGTGCAGCGTACCAGCTGTTAAGCCGCAGGAATCCGCCTTGCCATGACTAACTTTACTTGTGAGTGCATCCGAGTACCGGCGCACCCATGTCCCAACCGTCAACAGCATGAATGTCCACTACGACCCCATCCGTTCTCTGAAGCATACATGCCCCATCCATGTTTACGCCCGTTTTATATGTGTCCGTTCCCCACTGCATGCATGGCCCAACCATGATGATGTGCGTGCTTTTGAGCTCAGACCATCCATGGCCGGACCGTGATGACAGCCATGGTTGAGTCTGTTTTGAGGCCAAAGCATCCATGCCTTAACCAGGATAACGTCCATGGTCTGGTCCGTTTTGAGGTCGAGCACCCATGACCCAACCAGACCCCCACGGCCTAGTCCATTTTGAGGCCGGCGCACCCATGACCTAACCGCGAGAACGTTTGTGGCCTAAGTCTAAGTTGTAGAAAATCTTGCAACAACATTTCATATTGGTGGGCATTTCGAGCATTGTAGCTGCTTTGCTTAAGTACTGCTCTTGCCAGCTAAATCCACCGTGAATCGCAGCTGCAGCTGTCTACACGAGAGAGCTCTGAACTGCATTTGCCAGTAATTTTGCCGTTTTCGTCGGGCTCAGGGGTTTGGGCGTGTCTTAACGCGCGGTTCGAACGAGATAGAGTTCAGGGCAGTAAAGGAGCAAAGTCTCGTGCTGTTTCTGGTTTCCACCATGCGCTCTGCCTACCTACCGACCTCCCTACCTACCACCTGCCTGCCTACCTACTTGCCCACCTACCTGCCTGCCTGCCTGCCTCTGCCCACCGACCTACCTGCCTGCTGCCTACCCACCCACCTACTTACCTCCCTTCCTGCCAACCCACGACCTGCCTACCTACCTGCCCACCTACTTACCTACATACCTACCTTCCTGCCTAGGTGGTACCTACTGCCTACCTGCCTACCTGCCTAACCTATACCTACCTACCCCTACACCTCCCTGCCTCCACCTGCCCACCTGCCCACCTGCCCACCTACCCACCTACCCACCTACCCACCTACACACCGACCGGGCGATCGGTTGTGATCGTGTTTGCTGACATCTATCCATCGACCTATCTATCTATCTATCTATCTATCTATGTATCTATCTGTCTTTCTTTCTATTTATCTACCTACCTAACTATCTATCTATCCATCTGGCTGTTTATTTCTATCGATCTATCGATCTATCGATCTATCTATCTATTTATCTATCTATCTATCTATCTATCTAGCTATCTATCTATCTTCTTGTCTATCGATCTATCCATCTATCTATCTATCTATCTATCTATCTATCTGTTTCTATTGTGTCTTCGATCAACCTGTATATCTCGTCCGGAAAGTAGAGGGAAAGAACAAGAGGTAATAAAGAAGGAGACAGGTAGGCCGAAGTAGCTGGCTTTGGCGTGCAGCACGTGATGTGCAAGATGACCCGATGTATATACATCCGCCCGGTCTTCTTGAAGCATTGGGACTTAAGACGCGCATGTGTTTTCGGCCCGGCACCCTTCACTCTGCGAGCGACCTCACCAGGCTCGACGCCATGTGGAGCTCAGAGCTGGGAAGCTCCAGTGGTGGAGAAAGGACGGAGAGGGGACTCGGCATGGGTCAACTTCTACATCAATTGATGTCAGTGACAATGCCATGCGGCTTCAAGAAGCCGGTAATAATTCGACCCGGAATCCTCCTCCCCAGCCACTAACCCGATTCAAGCGCTCCTGAAGCTGCTTTTGCACGGAGGAGCCGCAAGGACCTCCGGATGTAGAGGTGCACAGGGGTGGTCTCAGATTGATTTGTCATTCCCGTCGATCTAGTAAATGTATCATGACGGTTTGGTATTCAATCACACATACCAAAAGCATGGGATTTTGGTCATTCAGCTCCGTGTCTTCATGGTGCTCTTTAGCTCTTTGTTGGCTGAAGGCACAAATCCACCTTTCGCAATACAGACGAAGAATAACACGGATAAGAAGAGCTCTGGATCTGTCTTTGAAAGTTTGTTCATCTGTGCTGGCACGATGGCCCGTTTGCCTATGCTTCTACTCGCTTGCGGATAGTTCTGATAAACTTGGCGAGGGATCAGGGGCAGTGAGACTGGCGGCCACGCGGCAGGGAGTCTCGGTCTGTGAGCATGTGCGGTTGAAGGCAAGCACGAATCTCTAGTGTCATGCTGGCACAAGTTCATCCTCACGGTCGACATTCCTAGCTTGCTGTCCTGGCGAAGTTGCGGCTGAGCGACGGTATCACACGCTGGGTGTTGATGCGGCACGAGGCCGACCTGAGCTCGAAGCATGTACTTTCGGAGGGTTTGTGCTTTCTTTCGATGCAGGGATTTAGCGCAACAATGTCTTTTTTCGTGTTTATTGTTGAGGTTAAGCTTCGACAGGAAGGGTTTCCTTCAATCCGAGCCCGAGATCTTTTGCAACAAATTACAGCTGCTGCCTGCTGATGAGAGCAGCGCGAACATGCTGCGGTATGTCCAAGGTGTGTGTGCCTGTGTAATACGGCAGCTCTGTCAGCAGCATCTCCGGTCGGAGACGGATGCACGGCATGACAGGGTGCGATCCTGGAGCTTATCTGCGAGAGCCGCAGTGGCTCGTCATCCAAGGCATCGAAGTTTGAAGAGCTAAAGATGACTTAGAGACTTCGGAAGACCGGATCTGAAGACCTTGATTGGAAAAGGGCACAGGAGTCCCAGCCAAGTAATACAACCGTTGAGCTCCAGCGAAAAGTCTAGCAGGCCATGGGCGAGCGAGTGCTTCTCCGCATGGAGAGTGATGTGGGGTCCCTACCAGAGGGGCCTCAGAGGCTTCGTGTTGCTTTGCGTTGGAGATTTTGGCAGGGAGAGGCCTCCTTCGTTAGTCAGCATTTGATTGCCCGAACCTCTAGCAGGCAGCCGCTCGTAAATTTGTGCATCTTCCGGCGGCAGAAGTCGAATTCGTAGTTTTTACCCTGCCTCCAGTATTGCTTTTGCTGTCCTCAGCTGCACCTTTACGCGATTAATTCGGGCTCAAGTCCCCTATGAGAAAAAGGTCTCTGCAGGGTTGACCTAACGGTAGGACCTGTGTAGCTGGCTGTAAACCCTAAACTTCAGGTTATCTGCCGTAGGTAGCTCCATGGCTCTTGCTCCGCATCCGGGTGCAGCTACTACTGCAGACAACAACAGGAATGGGCATGGCGGCAACAACAACGCTCAGCACTATCTTTCTCAGCTTCTACAGGACAATCAGCAAGTCAATGTGGTCATCAGCAAATGGACTCTTGAGCACGAAGCTGAGCTACAAGCAGAAGCACGGCATCGGCAAGTAATGGACGTCATGAGGCGCGTATGCATATTCAACAGCGTGAGGCGCATGCGGACGCTGAACACAGCAGGAGATTGGCTTTTGTGAACTCTGCCTGATTGTGAACCGCAGTCATGAGATGCATGTGTGAACTGTTGTATATATCTGCTGCCATAGGGCCCTTGAGTCATACAGAGTAGCTGTGCAGTTTGGCGAGAAAAGGAAGGCACCAATTCTGATTCAATTCAAATT